AACTTTATCTGACTGCTCATCAGAAATGAGAAGTTTTTAAGAAGAAAAATATAAATTTGTCTCCACTGAATTGATGTATATTAATTCTCCTAAAAAAAAAGCTCAACTGAGATCATTATGTGTCCAATTAAATTGCATCAAAAGGAATTTTAACACTTATTAAGAATTTGCTGCCTCTACATAAGGTGCTTCGATGACGCCAAAAAGAAAAACATTAAAGCTAAGTTTTAAACTCATCATTTGAAAAATTAAATCTCAGTGACTGAACCACAGAATTAAACTCACAGGTTAACGAATCTTTAAGCCTATTAAATTAATGTGATCGTACACATCAAAGGCTCAGAAACAAACCTCAGCACATTTTTCTTCAGTTTTGTTTAAAAGCTTTTAACTTCGACTCCATACAAACAACAATTTCTGAAACACTTAAAACATTTAATCTGTATTTGCTCTTAAACTGGTGTCTCTGCAGTAACTTTGAACTCCATTACGGAGCAAACAGAAAGTTTCCGGGATAGTCGAGTGAACTCCTTTGTATTTATTCTGAAACATAAAACCCAACTTTAAAATGTAAGTTGAGATCTTACCTTAATTTTGAGCAGATTTTGTGTCTTTTAGTTCAGTTATTGAAGGCAAAAGTCCCTCTTCATCCTCTCCGTGCTTCACTTCACTGAAAACAAGAGCTCAAGGATGCAAAAGTGTAGAAGGCGGAAGACATCTGAAGAGAGAGCTGCACTCTGGAAAGTTGTAGGCCACTGCAAACCCCAGATCTTTGTGGGTTTGCTACTCATGTCTACTTTCCTGCAATCTAGGCCTGGCATTTTCTACTCAGTGCAGTTCTTACAAGAAGCTAAAGAAAGTTCTGCACAATGACTTAAAAAAAGCTCAGCTGCACACACTCAGATTACGCTCATGGATCCACAATGATTCCTGTAACAGAGAAGTGAAAATAACTTGAAATAAACAGAGAAGTCATAATAGGAAGAATAGAAAGAACACGGAGTTTGAAAAAACAACCAATATTTATTCATCACAGCAGAAGTAACAAAGTATTTGTTTTCAAAATAAAAGAAACTGAAGGTAAACGA